GCTATTATCTAATATTATTAGCTAATGTTGGTGGAAGACACTATTTCAAGGGAAGTTGCCTTTGGCAACACAAAGGATAAAAACCTACACAGTTTACACATTAGCAATATGGCAGCAGGCTTCCTTTCTGGTAGGTAGCAACAGCCCATTTCCCTATTCACTCAACCTTTTCTGGGCTATCAGGCTTAGTTTGTCTGGTTTTGTTTGTATTGATCTCATTAACAGTTTTACCATAGGTCTTTGCAGTTCACCTACTAGAAGGCTACACTAATCCCCAATTAATCCCTTTAAAACCAGTTACAGATCTCCCTAATCAGTCTGTTTCACTTTGAAGATACCATCACATCTAACAAAATCTATCTGTAGCCCAGGATTCAAATGATAGTTCAGATAATATCAACACTTCCCCTTGCACAATCATCTAACCCAGTCAATTTCACATAGGATACACTAAAATGGCAAGCAACTGAATTAGAAAAAAGAGAGAGAGTGCGGTAATGACATTCAGACTGGAGCCCGGCAGCCTCTCTCAACCCTGGAATTACTCAAAAGTGCAGCTGGAGCAACTGTAAGGAGGGAAATGAATCATTCTCTTCAATGGGAAGAAAAGTATAGCAAGTCCTATTTGTGAATCCCATTGACGTCAGTAGGACTGAGTTGGGGATTCAAATGAGAATAGTTTAATATTCAACAGGGCTAGGAGTTAGCTGAAACTTCATTGACTTTTCAGTAAAATCTGAGATTATGGATAGGGTCCCTGCAAGACCATGAGTTTAGGCCAGCTTCCATCAAACTGATGTCCTTCAGTTGCTTATTAATTTACAAAAGTATTTATATATTGCCCGCTTACAAAATACCATGGCAGTTTACAAGAATGTAACATAAAAAAATAATAATTCAAGGCAGTGCAGAACAATCACTGAAATGAGAGGCTACGCAAGAAAAATTTAAACAACTGCATACACCTGTAAGCATGCAAAAAGTCTTCAAGCACCGAGAAATTCAAAACCAAGGATAACTGCTGAGTCTCTGCTGGAAGGATGTCCGATAGCATGGGAAACAGTGGCCCTAAATGTTCTTTTGGACAACAACTCCCATTAGCATGAGCCAGCATGGCTGTGCTGGCTAGATATGATGGGATTTGTAGTCCAGAGAGGCAACAGGGTGGCGAAGGTTGGTCTAGACATTATTACACTCAGCTATTAAAAGCTAGGTTGACGAAAGGCGTTGTATTTCTAGGACACCTGCAGTAGGCAACACAGAGAGGAGAGCTGCAATATACATATCAGAAGTGTGACAGCAAAAGCCCTTGTTCACTCCCTTTAGCTCTGTCTGCAAGAATTTGTTTGTCCAACATAATTCCACCAAGGGAAAGCTAAGGTGGAAAAGGAAAAAAGAAATTTTGGAGGCGATATTGGAAAAAGAAAAAGAATTAGTGAAAAAACCAAATAAGGAATCAGTAAAACAGGCAATTAAATTGTTACAAACTCAATACTCAATGATTATTAATGGTGAAATAGGATGGGAAATAAAGAGAATGAAACAGAAATATTTTGAACATGCTAACGAACCTGGGAAATTGTTGGCAATTCTTGCGGACAGAGAAGAGAACTGCAATATACCTATCAGAAGTGTGACGGCAAAAGCACACTCCCTTGTTCGCCCCCTTTAGCTCTGTCTGCAAGAATTTTAAAAGGGAAAAATATATATGCAATGACCAGCATTGTTCTTGATTCTGTCTCAATCCCACTGGAGCAAGAAATGACAGAAATCACTCTAAGATCTTTATGCACCTTTTGCATTGCACTACCTTGCGCCCCAGTTTACGTTACATGTTACAGCGTCACCCGTGTTACATCACGCAGGGAAATGTGGAATGCCTGAGAACCAACACTGCATCATTTATAATGGAAGCAAACATTATATTGTTCATTCGCTAACTGACATAACACTTATATGCATATAAATACCTCCAAGGAAACTACTCCAATATTGCTATTTGATCCAAGCAAACAACACATAACAAATATTTTATGTGACAAACTTCACTTCTTTCACTCTTTGCCAATCACAATTGTCTCTAATGTATTCATTATTCAAGCTTACTTGACAAGCCTTCTGTCTATTTTTTTTTTTAGCTCTATGGTCTGATCACAGGTACACAAGCTGGAATTCATGCTGGATTGCTTTGTGCTGATTGGCCAGAGAAGTCTCATGGGGCTGCTTCTCTTCAGGAGTAAATTTGCAACGTCACCTGAAGAATGACTTGCCTCTGCATATGAATGTTATTTTCATTTGTAAACACATAGTCAGAAGTAGAATTGTTTAAAGCAGTGATGCAGCCTGCAGAAAGGTAAGCAAGGATGGGGAAAGCAAATTATGCAAATAAATCTGAACATTCCTAGAAATAGCTGCTTTATTTTGTTTGCTGCTAGTTATGTCGTTTTTCGCAGCAATTTCTATTTTGAAAAATAAGCTCCCATTCCCTGGAAATAGCTGCTTTTCTTATGACTGAAAGCAATACATTGTATGTAGCCAAACTATTTTAAACTCACTCAAATTCTGTCTTAATATATATATCATAATATCAGAATAGGATCCTTCACATTTCCCTCACATTTTGCTTTAGGTGAAATTTCATAGGAATGACAACTCTACTAGTTGCAACTGAATGTTCTACAGCCAGATGCTCCTTATCATGATATAGGGAGAGATTTTTATTAGCTTCAAACTTCTGTGTAAAAATGTCAGAGTGGACCCCAGAGGACTGAACTTGCGCAGAATTTCAGCCAGGATGCGACGAGGTCTGCTCAGTGCTTGTGAAATGTGTCCCCTGTTCTTGAAACAAAAAGAATTCCAGAGTCCAAGTTTGTTGAAAATGAAGACACAAACTAGGTATTACACGGAACACATAGCGTTTGTCAATCCAGATTTTCTCACCGAGAATTTCCCTGCCCATCAGAAGCAGCAGAAGTAGAGTGCACAGGGATGACTACCATTAGGTAAATGGAGTCCTCTGGGTCAGGTTTAGGGGTTCGAGAAAAGGCAGCTAGTTATTTAATTTATTATTGTTGCATTGTTAGTCCCACAATGGGGGGAAAGCACTTTAGGTGTTTTCCTGCCTCAAATGCCAAAATAAGTTGAGCAGCCTTGGGTACAGATCACCTTGACTAGGGAGAGGGAGGTGAGCCATCATTTGCCACTACACCCCTGGCAGCAAGATATATTAGGCCACAACGTGCATAGACCAAGTACCTTATTTAACTAACATGAGACGGGAGATGCAGGGAGGAGACACGGGTTGAAGAAGAAGAAGAAGAAGAAGAAGAAGAAGAAGAAGAAGAAGAAGAGTTTAGATTTGATATCCCGCTTTATCACTACCCTAAGGAGTCTCAAAGTGGCTAACATTCTCCTTTCCCTTCCTCCCCCACAACAAACACTCTGTGAGGTGAGTGGGGCTGAGAGACTTCAGAGAAACGTGACTAGCCCAAGGTCACCCAGCAGCTGCATGTGGAGGAGCAGGGAAGCGAACCCAGTTCACCAGATTACGAGTCCACCACTCTTAACCCCTCACCACAACAAGCATACATTCCTCACAGCTTGGTGTTTAGGCATCATTAAGAAAGCGTATGGAGGAGACAAGGAAGCCTGCAAGGGAGCATATATGGAAATAAGAGAAGGGTGGCTTGGAACACTGAGAGAGAACCGAGTTGGGATGTTGTTTTGCTGAGATCTGGGTGAATGGGGCAAGGGGATCTACTTTGGCTCTGATGCCACCATTTGTTCTCATGTTGGTAGTAGGCAAGGGAAAATGGACAATATATTGGAGTGGTCCACAAAAATTCAGACTCTATCATGAGTTACACAATGAAGAGTACCATTCATATTTATTGATTTGAAACATTTATATCTTGCCTTTCCAAAGTCTAAGGTGGCTAACATTCTAAAAGCGAAAACCAGCCAACCAGCAACCAACACACACACACACACAACAACAACAACATCAACAACAACAACATGAGTAACAGAAGAGTTAAAGGGCTAAAAGCAGGAACCAAACCATATATACTAATAAAGCACCAGTTAAACGAAAGGCACAGATGAAACACCATCATTAAAATAGCCCCATGGCAGAGTAAAATACTAAGGGCAAGGTTAACAAATCATATACGGTAATCCAAAAGCCTTCCTAAAAAGCAATGCCTTTGCTATTAAAGAAGGAGCAAGGAGTGCTTCTCTCAGGGTGATGGGGCACTTATATCAAGTGTTTGTAAACTGCTGCAAGCAACAGGGATTCTGACAGAGTACTGATCATCCTTGCTGCACAGCAGATTTCTGAGTGTACTGGTGTCCTCTCAGATTTTCTGCAGAGGTCACCACATCTATTGAGTTTCAGATGTGTCGGGCTCTGTGCCAATGCCTTCTGTCTAGGACGTATGACTTCCATGATGACTGTGGAGAAGCCTCAATATAAAATGGCCCCAAGACACATTGTAGGTGATGAACTGTGCATCATATGGGCACTCCATCACCATGGGCATCTTACTGTAACTCCAAGCCCACGCATGATGGTGGGTCAATTATTCTGATCTAGTCCCAAAGGTTGATGTATCCAGTCACTTTCCAAAACACCTTCATTTTGTTGCTATGCAACCTCAAGGACCACATATTTGTGGACCTCTGGAATACAGAGTTGACTCTGATGGACGCAATAGCTTAGGGTTACCTGATATCCCCGTTTCCCGGGGACAGTCCCCGGACTTGCGAATAAGTCCCCGGACAAATACCATCCCCGGAATGTCCCTGGATTTCATCTGATGTCCCCGGGAAACGCAGCGGCAGCAGTCTCAGCAGTCTGGAGCAGTTGGCTCTGGCTGGCTTCAGGAGCTGCTCGGACGTCCCCATATGATGGTGGTGCAGGGGCTCTAAGATGCAGCTTCCGGGCTGCCTCCACCTTCCCTGACCCCAGCAACTAAGCTGTGAAGGGAGGCTTCATGCTGCCTATCGGAGCAGCCTCCAAACTCCTACTTGCATGCAAGCGGGGTGGGGATCTCTCAGCTGTGAAGGTAGGCTTCACACTGCCTATCAGAGCTTGCGTGCAAGCAGGAGGGGGCTGGGATATCTCATTTAGGCAATGGGAAGCCTCCCTTCCCAGTCGAGGGATCCCCTCCCTCTCCTGCTTGCACGCAAGTAGGAATGGGATTGGGGCTGCTCCGATGGGAAGGGAGGCATTGGGCTGCCCAAGCCTTGCCACTGCCACTGCTCTCAGCCCTCCTTCTCCACCTTCCATGCCTGACCCACCGCACACTGCTTCCCCCACCACCACCAAAGAACCAACAACTCAGGGGCTACCCAGGCTCATGGAGAAAGGCGATAGAAGCCTCAGAGGAAGGGGAAACATGGCGGTTGCGGTCAAGGCAGTGGCTGCCCCTCTGCCACCTCCATCGCTGCAGCATCAACGTCCTGTACATGTAATATTTATTTATTTATTTATTTATTGTGTCCCCAGATTCATTGAAAAAAATCTGGTAACCTTACAATAGCTCCAAGGCACTCTCTCCTGCATACTACAGTACAGATGATACCCATGGTGCCTTCTAGATATTATGGACACAACTCCCACCATCTCTGATCATTGGCCGTGTCATCTGGGGCTGATGAGAACTGTACCCACAACCAAAATGAGGGCAGCATGTTGGTTAACTCTGTTACAGTACCTACTTCCCCTTAGTAGTCGATTGATTTGAGACCCATGCAGCAAAAAGCTTGAATGTTGGTGGTTGTATTTTTCTTGTTTTAATGTGAACGGCTTAAAGATTTTATTCTATTCAATGGTATAAAAATATTATAAATAAGCACATTTCCCTGCAAGTTTATGCTATGCTTTGAAACTTACATTTTTTCTATTTCCATAGCCACACATATAAGTGAGTAACAATTACAAAATGCAATTTCCATCTCTCTGTAAAAAGTATGTTTACAGTGTTTAAGTGAGACCAGCAATGACAGAGTTAAACCCATAGAGAAAAGAAAAAAAGGAGTTAAGAAAAAAAGTTCATCGGCAAGGTGGAGGTAATGGCGATGGGGATAACTTTAAGGAAATGACTAGGATACAAAAGAGCTGAAAATATGCATACTGTACACAGTGCAAGAATTTTTAATGTGTAATTATGATTTGTTATATGTAATTTAGTGGACCTATTTCATGTAGCCTTTGTAGCCAGGCACTTTGTTGTAATGGAACAGAATTTAATTTGAAAACTGGTAAACACTGCTGGAGCAGGGAGGGGAATGGCGTTCTATCCATCCCTACCTGGGAATGTGAGATTCTTCTCCCAGAGAGCAGTCACTGTAATTGTTTGACTGCTGCGAGGGTGGTGGTTATAACAGTGTCATTGGCCCCTGCTGAATGATATTGTTTGCAATATGATTAGTAATAAGAACGTTCCTTTTCACACACACAACCATTTTGTACCACCACCACCCTCTTCCAGACATTAATTCAAGGTAAAATTAATGCACACGGCTACATTGCTGTGTCAGACTGAGGCCAGCTCCCCTGTCTGCAGCTGCATGTTATTCAGGCCTTTTAATGTGTGTTCATTCTTAAAACACCTAAACAAACTCACAAAAAGAGCTACTATTACTTTTTAAAGAAATAATAATAATAATAATAATATTAGTAATAAATTTTATTTATACCCCACCCTCCCAGGCCAAGACGGCTAACACCAAATATATAATACATTAAAAACACAAAATCAAACAACTGGTTACAACACAGCTCAAAATCACAGTAAAATCAAAATAAAATTAAGTGGCCAACCCATGAATCACAGCCATGAAGGTAGGAATATAATGTTCTGTGAAGGAGTAGTTATCTTCCCATTCTTCTAAGTAGTGAAAAGCAGCAAGACCATTAAAAACAAACAAAATATTTTGCTTAGTTTTACTTTATTCTCCAGGATCTGTGAGTTCCTTTCTCATGTACTGGAGTTTGTCTGCCCGTCCATCCATCCATCTAGATGGTGATTTTTTATTTTATAAGTGGGGAACCAGCCCGACAGCTGCCTCTTGCTACAGGGCCATCTCTTGAACTCCTCTGCGCAGGGAGGATATCTCACTATTGGGAGAAATGAACAAATTTTCCAGTAGCACCTTAGAGACCAACTAAGTTTGTTCTGGGTATAAGCTTTCGTGTCCATGTATCTGAAGTGTGCTGGTCTCTAAGGTGCTACTGGACAATCTTTAAATTTATTTCGACTGTGTCAGACCAACACGGCTACCTGCCTGAATCTAGATTCACTATTGGGAGGTTAAGGGAGATCTTTGGATGAAAGGCAGTCATTTTAAAAAGTAAATGAAATAAAAGTGTAAGGTTAATTGCACATGTGGTAATGCAGAACATGAGGATGCTGCCAGCCCATCATGGCGTCCTCAGGCAGCTGCGATAGCCACAGCTCTACCTCTCCTTTAAATCAGAACCAGCAAAGGCAGTGAAGGTCCTGTGTGAGTGCCTGGAGGCGGTTGGAAGATGGATGGCGGCTAACAGATTGAGGTTGAATCCTGACAAGACAGAAGTACTGTTTTTGGGGGACAGGGGGCGGGCGGTGTGGGGGACTCCCTGGTCCTGAATGGGCTAACTGTGCCCTTTAAGAACCAGGTGCGCAGCCTGGGAGTCATTTTGGACTCACAGCTGTCCATGGAGGCGCAAGTTAATTCTGTGTCCAGGGCGGCTGTCTACCAGCTCCACCTGATACGCAGGCTGAGACCCTACCTGCCCGCAGACTGTCTCGCCAGAGTGGTGCATGCTCTAGTTATCTCCTGCATGGACCACTGCAATGCACTCTATGTGGGGCTACCTTTGAAGGTGACCCGGAAACTGCAATTAATCCAGAATGCAGCAGCTAGACTGGTGACTGGGAGTGGCCACCGGGACCATATAACACCGGTCCTGAGAGATCTGCATTGGCTCCCAGTACATTTCCGAGCACAATTCAACGTGTTGGTGCTGACCTTTAAAGCCCTAAACGGCCTCGGTCCTGTATACCTGAAGGAGCGTCTCCACCCCCATCGTTCAGCCGGGACACTGAGGTCCAGTGCTGAGGGCCTTCTGGCGGTTCCCTCATTGCGAGAAGTGAGGTTACAGGGAACCAGACAGAGGGCCTTCTCAGTAGCGGTGCCCACCCTGTGGAACACCCTCCCTTCAGATGTGAAGGAGACAAGCAGCTATCCTATCTTTAAAAGACATCTGAAGGCAGCCCTGTTCAGGGAAGTTTTTAATATTTAATGCTGTACTGTTTTTAACACTTGATTGGGAGCTGCCCAGAGTGGCTGGGGAAACTCAGCCAGATGGGCGGGGTATGTATAAATAAATAAATAAATAAATAAACAAATAAATAAATAAATAAATATTCTGACACTGATCCTGGCCACCTCTGTGTCAAGATAGCAAGGTCTGGGGGTCTCCCACCACAATAATTTCCTAAAATGCCTCAGGATACGTCAGGAGAATTGTGGGTGATTAAAATTGTGGCTCCAAACTACCCAGCGTTCGTCGCAGGACTGCTTTTCAAGGTCTCTGTACTGGGTAAACCCAGAGATTCCCAATAAAGAAAGCTGTCTTATAACAAGTCACATAACTGGTGCATTTGGTCTCCTTTAGCTGTGCTTATTGGCAGAATCTGCCACCCTTGTCTGGGACTGGGTGGGGATTGAACCTGGGATACAAAGCAGATGCTCTAACACTCAGCTACGGCTCATATGGGAGTCACTCCACCAGAGGCCACTTTGTGAAAGGCCCTTTCAAACCTGGAGTAGTTGACTCATGATCTGACTGTGCAGAAAGGCTTTTAGAATACAACTGGATGTGTCTTGTGGCTGCATTCTACCATTTACTTCAATGGAGGCTTTCAGACACCCATGAGAATAAATGGTGAATGTGTGGCAGAGAACGCTTGCTGAATTCTCCTCCTTGAGATGCTTCCTTTCCTATTGATTTTTTGAGGTTCAGAATTGCCTTCTTCAGCTACATATTTTTTTTAACCCAGAGTTAAATTTTAATGATGTGGAGGAGAGGAACTATTTATTTGTGTGACCAAATAATTAAAATATTGTTAATACTTCTGTATCTGGAGATGGAGAAACATGATTTTCGTTACCTTCTGGCACAATCTTCTCCAGGCTGTAAATTTCTCTCCTTCTTTGAACCTCACACAAACTCTTTTTAATGAAAAAAAAAAAAAGATATCCCTGGGTGTAACTCTGCTCTGATAAAGTCATCCCAAGGGTGGATTTTCCACAGAAGTGTATGGTGTAAATAACAGGATTTTCTGGTCACTCCCCCCCTCCCCCGCTGATTCCAAATTTCCTTTTCTGCTCTTTTCTCAGGAAATATTAGATTTCCAGAGTAGCTTCTGGGCTAAGCTGTTTGGTTCTGCCTTTCTAACGAAACAATGTAAATGCCCGCTGGTTAACTTCGCTTCTTTAGCTATGGTGCATAGCTGGTTTAATATGTATCTTTGGTCATTTTGCAAGGCTACAGAGACTCTCTGGAGTGACTTTAAGATAAATAAATAAAGGTTGCAGTGAGGAGTAGAGCTGATTTATCGACTGGTAAGGATATGAACATTTTGTGGACACTGTTAATTTTGATATTATACATCCAAGTTATTAATTATACTCCTGAATAATAGGAAATGCTAAATGAAGTCCACTGATTTCAGTGGGTCTACTTTGGGTAAGCCTTAGTTGGATGCAACTGCATTATATTTCAATACACCCTGTACACTCAAATAGGAAATCACTAGAAACTTGTGCTGGGCTTTTGTTTCACTCAGTTGTCGATGGATATGATTCTGAAAATATTAAAAGATAATAGTTTGAATCCTGGTTAACTACATGCAACTAAAAAGACACCCACTTTCTTTAGTACATCAATGGGATGGCTTTTTTTGCAGTCATGGCACACCAAGGAGCAGTCTATTGCATGCCCCAAAACTGTAGTCATCACTGTTTGAGGTCACCCACCTGTAACACTTACCCACACAATGAGATTCATTAAAAAAAATTACTACCACTTTCTTTTTCTTCTCTCTCTCTCCATCTGCTTCTCTCACAGGGAAAAAAGAGAAAACCCTCATCAACAAGACTAAAAATAAAATGTGGTGGTACCGCTTTAATTTGGGGCACAATTAAGTTCTAGGACGGAACCCACTGACT